TCTAAATGGAGTCTGAGGCAGATTAAGGCGTATTGATGATTAACTCTTTTTCACATCTTTGTATATTCTGTCCACTGGTGTACAGATTTGACATCTAACTGCCACAAATAAACAATCAGAGCGGAAAGTTTCTCTGATTTAATGGGATTTTCCCTCCTTCTGTCCTGCAGGTGGGCAAGCGGTGCCTCAGGACCCCTTACCTTCCTCCACCTGCCCTCCGGGGCCCCCGGGGCCTCCGGCTGTGGCCAACGGCAGCAGTGAGATCATGGTGAACTTTGACCCCGACCCGGCGGACCTGGCGCTGTCCAGCGTGCCGGGACAGGAGGCGTTCGACCCGCGGAGGCATCGCTTCACAGAGGACGAGCTCAAACCTCAGCCCATGATCAAGAAGGCCCGAAAAATGCTGGTCCCCGATGAGCAGAAGGTACTACATCTCCCACAATCCATTTCTGCTCAGCAGACAGACACCAAGCCTGCTTGAAACCCTTTTAACTAGAGTTTACACTTAAACTCACAACAGAACTTATGCGCTGCTCAAAAGTTATCTTCTTCTAAACAGATCATTGTTCCCAGTTCTTAGGGGTGTTGAATGGGTTAAATGGTATCATTTTTGGGTCAGTCTTACCTGTGTGATCAGTCTTTAGTTTGATGTTTTCTTAAAATATCAGGACAAAACGCAGTGTGAGCTGTTGGTTCTTTACTTCTGGTCGTTTTTAATTCACTTTTCCTATTTCCGGAGGTTCCTTTCAGGAATTTTCTGTAGCCTTCTAAGTTTTAAACATCCTTACAGCCGATAAGTTTCCACAAAACTAAAAAATCTTCAAAAGCCAAGGCTCGAACACGAGTTCATCAGATTAGAATAACATCTGGAAAAAGAAGTAAGGCGTTGAATTAAAAAGAGAGGAAAGCCTTTTGAAGTCCGGAGACCGATGAAGGAAACGTCTGTGAAGACAAAAGCTGCTCAGTCTCGCAGACAGCTCGGCAGAGTTCACCTTTTTCTTTGGGTATCCGCTTCAAACAGAGGCGGCAGGAGCCCGGTCTAGCTCACAGAGCTGAACTCCATCATGATAAAGGCCGGAGCTCTTTGACAGCTCCCGTGCTGATGTGGAAAAAACTTAAGGAGCGTGACGCCCACTGGTATTGATGCCTCCTGACCAGAGCCCTAAAATATTTTGTACTCAGCTCATTGCACAGTAGGAGAAGCTGTGATCAATGGCTCATGCTTTCACAGCCCAGCGCAGAGCAGCTGCAGCTCCTGAGGCGTTCATAATTTATGGAGAGATGAAGGCGCTCACCTTGCCGCGCTCGGTCGGCGTTGGTTCTATAAATCATTTTCGGAGGAGCGGTTAAAGATGGAGCTCAGATCCTCGTGAGCAGGCTTTTAGGTCCTGCTCCGAAAATCGAATCCGGCTCTGATTAGAGGACAACATGATCCGGATTGCAGCCTAAATCAGCCATCTAATGCGCAGTGTGAGGGAAAAGTCTCAGACAGGCAGATAGACACACAGCCTACACAACAAAACCCTCCAAACAGATGTAACGCGTCCCCTCGGAGGCTCATTTCTGCTGCTAACACGACAAGAATTCCCA